GTTATTACAACACGGGATATTCGTATTTGGTCACAATCTAAATACGAATCCTGCCGAACAGGGCTCATGCGGACGAGACGTGGTGCTGTCCTTGTGGTATAGTGACTCTACGCTGAACGCATTTTTATTTTTTATTTTCTAAGATGGGAAAAGATAACAAAGAGAGAAAAAAAAACACTGATACTGGCTGGGAGAATAAAGAACGAAAAAAATGAGAGCAATGAAAATGAGAATTATTACTTGCTTTGGTGATCGGACTTTCTTTACAATTGTCTCGGTCTCTCGGACCGATAACTTCATGAATGTTTTCAACAGCGTTACATCTCCTCGTGTATTCTCTTACCGTTGCGTTTTCTTAACAATGCCAGTGGACTTTAAGTTTAACTTAACCTACGGATTAAAACCTCAATTCAGTGGCATCAAAATTGTCACTGTTTTACAGACAATCCATTTTCCAAGTAAAGTGGCTCATAGCCACTTTGATATTACTTTGCGCGCTCGATGCATGACGTGGCGTCTGACATTGGTGTGCGCAGTAAGGATGCGCAGAAGCAATTAGGTCAAACGTCCTTATAAGCAGACTGCAAATTGCGGAAATAAATTTTAAAAAGCAACTTTAAAAACAATCGTCAATGCTAGAGGTAAAGTATTCTCTGTTCTTAACATTCAAGTGAAAACATTAAAAGTCCACAGAAAGAGAAGAACAAGTCAGTGCAATCTTCCAGAAAAATACTTACCATAGCTTTCCAGTTAGTCGAAGCTCTCCGTTCTGTATACTCAGCTTCTGAGATCTTCGAAAAAAAATAAAAATGGCAAAGCGCAACCTGTTAGCCTCCTTCACACATGCAATATAGTACGATTAGTGGAGGAGACCTTAAAAACATTCAGGTAATGCTTCAACTGACTACTGTCATTAGCGCTTTATAATAAAAAAAAAAATAGATAAGTGATGGGCGAGTGAAGACGAATACCTCTTGTGCGGGAATATTAATCCAAAGATTAACTCTGATTGACCTTCGACGCAATCCACAAAGACGTTCAATTTAGTACCACCACAAAGAGGATATCTGGTAACGATTTCTCCATAAGGAGGCCAGCAATCTCCTTTAATACATACTGTTGGCGTTTCTGCTGAAAAGCATTTCGAGCCGCGGACGAGCTCCAGCGCACAATCTGCTGAATTTTCGAAGGCTGTGCAGACTGTGAGAAGAAAAGTATGAAATAATACCATGTCACGCAGGTTCAATATGTTCATTTTAACCAGGCTAAATTAAGGTCGGTGCAGAAAACAGAAAAGCTGATGTTTAACCAAGTTTAAAATAAATTCCAAGTGGCAGCGAAATCTCTCAAGATCCAACAAGGCTGACAGTACAGAAATTTACCATAACCCGGTCATGTCCTCCGTTATGGATCCAGAATTTGTTGAAGAGGCAGTTCAATGGTTATTTTTGGCAAAGATGCATTTGTTAAAGAAAAACCCGTAAATTTCTTTAAAAACTTATAGCTTTGCTCAATCGTAAAAGATACCTCTGACTGTGATTATTTACCCAAGGAAATTCAGAGGTCAAGATCAAGGAAAAAATTCCTTAATATCAGCTTTTTTGATGTCGCAGGAAACACAGTGGAGCTTTGAGTAAAATCAAGCCTGCAAATAATTTTTGTCGATAAGCAGGTTATTTGTCACGCCGGAGACAAGTTTTGACCTGACAAAAAGCCAGTCTGGTCGGACAATTTTTTTTGTTGGTATTTCAGTGTAGACCCTTCGCCGAAATGTTGGTTGCAAATTCGAATGGCTTAAAAGTAAAGTCAGTTGAGTGCAAAATTGATACTAGCGACAGAAAGGGGACCTTTACATCAAGTCAGTATTATTTTACCGTTGAAAATCGACAAATTTACCAACGTTTGTACCCCTAGTTTGCCTTCACTCACTTGATCACACGTGTATTCCGCATTTCCCCGTGTATCAAGTTTCCCAGAACACCACGGGAAAATCCCGCGTAGACAGCTTGTTAGTATAAAAACTCACAATAGCATTCAGAGACTTGAAAATCGGCTGAAATGAATTCTTCGACTTATTCTGAAGGCAAGTTTCCCCTGAAAAGTTTTGGTGTCAATTGAATAAAAAGTTTGCGTAATTAGATGAAATTCGAATTGCAAGTGGTCGTGACTACAAAGCGTGACTAATTTGTACATTCACGCTTTTCACAAATACATTCTGTGGCACGGAAACCAATAGCGAAGCGCGCGAGTGACGTCCAAAAAAATTAGACCCCCCACAAGACTCAGACAAACAAACCGGAATGGCGGAAGATTTGTAGCTCTCTCCAAGCGCGAAAGCCACAATTCTCACACAAAACGACGATGTTCCGGGCTGTAAGTTTGAAGGTGAACCTGAAGGCTATACTGAAGTAGAGTAATTAAAATGAAATTTCGAGCGATTTCAAGTATTATTTTGGCTTCGTAATTAAGGAAATTTTCGAGGTTGGACACACTATAAAATCTCGATGTTTTGATACTTCGAAAATATCGTACTCTGACTCCGGTGTCAACTCTCATAAACTTAAGTCCACGAAAATTACAGTTGAACCCCTCTGAAAGTACTCGATGTTTGTTCTGAGATGCCAAGCGATTCTAAATAATGTTTTGGTCTTTTTAGCTTCGGCATACTATAAAAATGTCGACGCACAGGCACGGTTGTTCAAAAAAACTACAGATACCCGACAGTCAAAAATTTTAAACCATGAAGTCCTTAACCATCATGAACGTTGTATTTGTTTTTTTTTTTTTCAATTTATATCTATTACAAACAGACTTTTTTAACTGGCGGTGGAATATCGAATAAGGTGCTTTAATAGCTGTATAGTCAACAGCAGTTCTAGAAACTGCAAACTCCTCCGTCAATCAGTGAGTCATGGTATCAACAGTATCAACAATGTCACGCAACCTGTGTTTCCCTGCCGAGACGTTTCTCACCTGAGATCGATCAAAATACTAAATACTGTCGGGAGGTTTCAAATAATAACAAAATTTTTTTGATTATCTATGAATTAATTTTTGGCTGCTGGGTATCCAGTTTTTTTAACAACCGTGCCTGTGAGTCGAGAGTTCTATAGTGTAAAGCTAAGAGAATTCGTCCACTACAAAACCAAAACATTATTTAGAATCCCTTGGCATTTGTGAACAGATATTGAGTACTCTCAGAGGAGTTCAACTGTAATTTTTGTGGACATTAGTCTACGAAGGTTGACACCGGAGTCAGAGTACGATATTTTCAAAGTGTCAAAACATCGTTTGTCCACCAAGACTCTGGGCTGCGGTGCTTTACGCTTCGGGCGAGATGCTTTAAACACTTCATGAGCTGTAAAGTTTGCTTTCAAGAGATCGGGAAACTCGTCAGTTGGACCTCTCTGTCCTGGTCAGTGTAGTGTACAGATGTATGTGTTTCTGGTAATCTCACTGATGGTAATATGTTCATGGGAACAAGCATTAATCCATCGTTGACAGCGTTCGATTCCTTGCCATGGCTTCGGAAAAGGTATAAATACTTTCATACCTAATTCCAGCATTTGTTTCAGCGAATCACTGTTGCATGTTCCCCAGCAGCAGTGCTTGGTACTAACCATATTGACCGAAATAAGGCGGCTAAAACACTTTTTTCAAACGAAAAATTTGTCCACATAGCCTCTATTTCTCCCGGAACACGCTGATGTTCGTCTGAGACTCGCGGGGGGTCCAAAAGTATACAATCTATTTTTAGACCTTGCGCGCTTCGCTATTCAAACTACATTGAACCACAGACGTAAAAACACCAATAAAGAGCTATATAACTGATCTTTGATCATACGGAATAGAAAAACATTTGGTTACGTTTCAGAGGTTTTAAACTTTTTGAAAGCGATTGCATTCATGTGAACGAAACGTGAGAATTTGGGCTGTGTATCAATTTGCATAATATTTCAATCGATCGGGTCGAATTACGACTAATAATTAATCCCACAACACTTGTAGATAACAGAGTACGAGTAACAACATAAAAACACGGATTTTAGTAGTTTTTCAGACGAATGTAATGAAGACTAAATGGGGTGTCACGATCTTTCACGACACCATTGCAAAATGCGTAGACGTAGCTTGAATAGTGACGCTGATGTGGCGTGTTTACGACTCGACGTGACATTTGAGACGACGGATTGCGCGTGGAAATATTTCTCAGAAATGGAAAAACGAAACTACGATAACAAACCTTTTTTCCGTAGTATTGTTTGGCAGTATAATAAAATAACTTGTTTCATATTCGGTCACAAATTTCCAGTTGAAATATTTGTCGTTTAGCAGAAATGCTCGGTCAGCTTTTACCTGTCAAAACCTCCAGTTGTCCGATGACCGACTGTTATTTGCAGGCTTGAAAATCGAGCTAAAAATCATTTTAGGTCTCTAACCAAAATACAGTGCATCGTTCTTACTGTGTGCCACTGAACCCTCTAATGAAACATTAGAGAAATGAGTTTTACGAAAGCATTTTGTGTCTGATTTCAAATGATAATCGGTTCTCACTTTATACGTTCTGCCAAGTGCGTCATCTCTGCCCGTGATAATATTTCCCAGGGTCCCGTTTCTCGAAAGCCCCGGAAACGTTTCAGGCCCGTAAAGCCATTTTTAGTTCATCTGTATCTACAAACGGAGTAGTGTATACGCCTGGAACTTCTTGTATGAAGGGAACCTCTGTTCATATTAAGAATACGTGAATAAAACAGTTCTGTAATCATAAGGTTCGAGATTTTGCTATGGCTTTCCGGGCTCGAAAAGTTTCCGGGGCTTTCGAGAAACGGGCCCCAGGTTCGATACTCTGCTGGTTCTACAGACATTGCTCAATATGTGAAAGTGGACTAATTCTAGTATAGCTTGATTATAATCAACTCACCTTGCTCCATAGGAATGCTGCTTAGAGTGCAGAAATATGATCATGTGTCAAACACGGAAACTATTTGAGTCAGACAGGGGGGAGATGAAAGGACTTCCCATGATGCTTTGGTGTAATCTGATCGTTTTTCATGATGACCACGTCGACAAATCGGATGTTTGGAGCGTAAAAAAGCGTTGGTTTCGTGTCCAATTTTTGACTTTGTTTCGACCTCTCGGTGAGTATTTTTGTTTTCCACGTGTTCTTTACGTTTTCAATTACTGCTTCAACCGTTCTTGATCAATAATCATTGTTTATATTCTTTCATTCAGGGCTATGTTTTTGTGCAACATGCCGTGACGAGGTCATTGTTGTTCCAATGTAAGCGGAACAAAGGTCAGAACACACCAGCTTTTACGTTACGTTTGTGAATACATTTGAGCAATGAAGTTTAAAATTGTTAGTATAAAGTTCAGTAAGCAATATGTGCTTAAATGTATTCTAATGTACTCAGGTTTAATCATAGTAATAAACGGTCAAAATTTACGTAAATATGGCGCCAAGCGGCCATTGCGCTGTCTTCTCCTGTTGCAGTTTTCGAGGAAATAATTGTTATAAATCGTTGAATGGCGCAATGTTTGGGCCATTTCGTCCATTTTATTACTTTTCTCGATTGGAAATAAGTTTAGCTTTGTTATTTGAAGATGACTGGTTTGCCTGTGAGGTTTTTTACGAAAGGAAATCTTTCTTTTCGGCCCTCTTATCAACAGAGTCTATTAATATGGATCGGAAGAGGTTACATGTAGAAACGGGGAACACACCAAACAAGCCGCTGAGAAAAAGACGGACTCCAACTGGTTCTTCAAGAAAGTCTCTTTTCGGCAGTTCTCCGTCAGGAAAGCCGGTTAGTAAAATGATTTTTTGGTTAATTTTACAATTTGAGATTTAACCTATCAGTGAAGCATTTTCCCTCCAGAGAATCATCTGGTCAGAAGGTTTTGTCACATTGTTTATTCGTGCAGTTTTTCTCTTCCCAGATTTCCTTATTCTTTAGTCTTAATCTTCAAATTTTAACATTTTCGAAATTTTTGGGGGTGTATATTTTAAGCCTTTTTATTTTGCAGAATTGGAGATTTCGAAACATTACATTTTTGTATATTACATCATTGAGAATAATATTAATTCTGTTTAAACAAAGGTACCCCAACCAAGATTAGTCACAAGACTTAAAGGAGTTAATACTTCGCCAAAAGTTTTAAAATTTGACTCGAAGAAGCAAAGGATTGTTTGGCAGAGGAAAGAGGATGTGGCACTTGTACAGTTTGTTGCCTTACACAAAGACTTGCAGCCAACAAAAAGTGAATGGCCTTCGCTAAATCCGAAGTCAAAATACTGGAAAGATGCTGCTGAGTACATCAAACAGACAGCTGGAACAAAGTTTCTCAGAGAGGGTTGGTGCATCCTTTAATCTAGCACAAATTTATAGTATGCTGACAAGAGGAGGTCCACTTAAGAAATAAAGGTTGAATACCCATAACTTCCATACCTCAAGTTTGATACTGAAATATCGAACGTTTTCCTTTTGGGATAATTTGCGGAGTTTTATGTCTGATATCACTTAGTTGTCTTGCCTTTGGAATGTTGTTACAAGACACTAAATGCAATCACTCATTAGTGACTAAAAATAATGTCTTTTAAATTGGTAGTCGCACATAAAAAATAATTTATTCAGTTCACTTCACTTTGCGTGTCACTGATTTTTTGGTCTGTGAATGACAATTATTATGTATTCCATGTTTGTTGAGGTGCTAATTGTTACCCTTCATATTTTTTAGGATCATCAATCCGCCAACGAGTGGTGGTATACATGAAAGGCCATTATAAAAGTGTTGATGAGGCAGAAGACGAATATGGATTATCTGTGGATTCCTACCTAGGGGAGCCAAATGTCCTTAATGAAGAAGAAACAGAGCTGCAAAGCTCTTCTGATGTGTTAAATGCCATTGATCACCTTGGACAGTCACAACTGGTTGACATGATTTTCAAGGCTTTCAGTAGAGTGATTGATAAAAATAATTTGCTTTTAACACTGTTAGCACAGATTTCTTTCCGAGAACACCTCAAAGATTTGATTGTTGCTCTACACCCCCACCTGCATGAACAAGATCAAAGAATGCTGCTCAACAAATGGTTTCTTCAGCAAGCTACAGAGGTGGGAATTGACAGCAATCCGGCAGATTTTGCAACCCTGTCCTTGGAAGCAATGCTAATGCTTCAAAGAAATGACAAGCCCAATTTGGTTTACAAGTGGTGCAGCTGCCTCTACAATGATGAAGGCAAGCCGAGTTTGGATTTAAACCGAATGCCCCTTGGGATGCTGCAGTACATCATAGAGTTCTTCAGCTGTACACATGTTGCCCAGGTTTGTACAATAATCTGTATGAATGGTTGTTGAAAAGGTCATGGTAAATTAGGGTAGTGAAGGTGTAAATCGTCATGCCTGGATCAGGTTATCATAATGGTAACTCATCAAGTCTCCCTGTCTGTGGAAGTGTTTGTTTCTATGTAGTAACTAATGGCTTATGTGAAAATATCTTGAATATAATGTAGTTGCATGGCAAAGCTGTTGTTACATTTATTCAGTATATAGCTACACAGATGCTCTTGCACAACAATCAGAGCACCTCTCTTGTTTTTATTTCTGAGAATAAGGTTATTTAAATATATCTTTTAGATAAGAGAACCCCCCGACTATAAGATGTGGCAGGACACCTTGGATGCTGAGTTCGGTGGGGGCAAATTTAAGCGCCTCTTTCGTGGGCCTATGTGGAGTGGTTGTGATAGGAAAGACATGGGCAACCCAAGAAAGGTAATTAAAAGTTATTCATTGACGTTCAAGTTTACTTAGAAAATGTGTTTAATCAGTAGAAAAGTAACACTGTACACAGTTCTGAGTGGACAGTTATGTTGGGACTACATATAAATAGGCTTCACTGAAAAGGGTGTGTAGCTCTCAACACGAGGTTAGTAAGTCCCAGTTTTATATTACATTACTCATTGGAAATGACCCTTGTATCCTTTCATAGGAAATAGATACAAGTTAATTTTTAATACAGCCATAATAATACTTCTTATTTCAGGCAAGGGTAAATGTTCCCTGTGTAAGTACTCAAACTCAGAATGAAAGTATGCAGAAGTCACCATTTAGCACCAAGCCAGAAATCCAGGTAAGAAGAAAATCTAAAATTATTCATTCAANATATCAGTGACTACACATTGATGTAGGGAAAGCTTTTAATGACCCTTCTTTAATTCTACGCTTTTAGGGAATTTACAAAACGTATGGACCCAGATCTTCCCTTCTTTTACCATACTCTGAATGAAAGGTTCTCAGTGGACTTGTTGCCATCTTTTGATGAACCACCACCAGGCTGTGGAAGTGATGATGAAGATTGTGATGACCTAACAAAGAACCCATACCGTTTGCACCGTCTTGTTAGAAATACCAGGGAAGATGGATCCATATTTGCTGCCGGTCGGTCATTTCTTCCAGCCAGAAACAGAACATCGACAAGACAACGATTTCATCGTTTTGATATTGGCTTACCCCCTGTTCCTCAAGGATAGCAATTGTATCTTATATATTTAACCCCCAACAATACTAATTATTATTTTCTCCTTATAATACCAATGACATGAAGACAAGTGCTGAGAATATAGATTTAATCACCTAGGAGGAACTGTCACAGCTTGAGTCATAAAGAAATAAATTTTTGAACTAAACCCTACCAAAACAGGATTTTTTTATCCAAGTGAATACTAAGTTATGTAAAGTTATCTTAATACAAAATCAAGTATGTCTTTGCAAGAGTGTGTCAACGGAAAATAATGTGTATACATCCTCAAACCAAAAAATGGTAAGCAATTAAAATTCAAGACTTATTAAAATCATTGGTCAAGGGTGATCAAAGAAATAAAGTTCTTTTTAATAAATGCTATCTTGTTATTGTATAGCTGACTTTGCTTTGCTCTTTGAAAACTGGGTTGGTGGAGGGTATTTGGGTTACGACCAGGCCAATAACTGAATTTAACACAATGTATGAACATCTGACGACCACTTTTTCATCATGTTACTGTTCACTTGACTTGACCATGACATGAAAACCACCAAAGACTGTTAAAAATCTCCCAACGTCCTACATGGTGTTTTGAGTTTGATTAGCAAACACTTATTGAAGTCTCTCAAAGGTTGCTGAAAATCACCTGTGTTGTCTATCTAATTTTTCCCCTTTATATGCACATTATTAATAAGACATCAGACAATTCCTCGTAAGAGTAAGAATAATGTAGGCTTTCATTTTCTGAAAACAAATTCAATTAAATTGGCTACAGCTTATCATTGTACTTGTATAGTCCATCATTAGGCAGCCATTTTCCAGCCTTGGTAAAGATTACAGATGCTATATAAGTCCACTTTGGAGAGTCTACCATGATATACTGACATTTGATGTTTTTAAATTTTGCATCTTGTAACTCACCATTTGTCATTGCTGAATTAAATTTAGGGACTTTTTCTTTGGGAATATAACCAATCCTGTCCCATTGTAAGTTCACTTTGGCTTGCACAATGATGGCATTGCAATCCCTGATGTTGTCTGGTTCAGTTTGAAGTCTTAGTTCAACTGTTCCTTTTGCAGCTAGAATTTCTCGGCATTTCTTCAACGTACTTTGACAATCTGCATGAAAGGAGCTGCCTCTTAAACCAACATATTCAGTAAAAAGAGGAACTGATTCCTCAACTGCTTCTCTTTCGTCACATGGCTCCTCGAGATATTCCTCCTCTTCATACTCCTCGTGGATTTCATCTACAATCACAATATCCTCATCTGATTCTTCGCTTGAAGAGTTAGCACCGTTGTTTTCAGGTTGGTTATGACAAGCAGTGCAATCTGGCAGCACAACATTCATCAGCCTGGGATATTCAGTGCAACTGCACCGACACCTGGTTAAATCCAGCCACGGACAACAATCGGAGAACGTATCGTCCTCTGATGAATTTTCCAGTTTCTCCATCGATTTAGGTCTTGGAAGCTTAGACGCTCCTACTTTACCCACAACTTCGAAGTCCACGATAAAGGTAACCTGTCTTCCATCAGATTCCTGTGTAAACAAAAAAACAATTCGACACAACTAAACTTGAGATGAACACGTTTACAAACCCGACGATAATAACAATAAGTTTAAGCTTAGTTTGCTTGGTTTACCATAGCCTGCGCGAGAACACAAGAGAAATAAAGCAACTTGTACACAAATACGATACAAACACAACAACAAAAAAATAGTTACCGTGAAATAACAGGACGATTTAACGTTGATCAGGACAGGGCTTCGTGCGGTTGAAAGTTTGCCTTTGCAATCGTCGCTCCAAAGAACACAACAGAGACGGCGAACGGCCAACTCCCTTGGAAAACTAAAGTGTCCAAGTACACAACATATCTCTAAACAAGGAAAACTGGTGACTCTAGTGAATTGTTTGGTTCCTAGATCGATGCAATGAACATATATGAGCTTCGAGAGATCGAATGGTCTCTCACACCGCGAGATTAACCTGACGGCGTCCATGTCGAAATGGCAAGTCACGTGACGCAAAAATAATGATAATATAGTTGGAAGCAAAGCATCATGGGAAGTCCTTTCATCCCCCCCTGTGAGTCAGACAGACAGGGAGACGAGGATTAGTGTGATGAAAGGCCTCGTTTGTTTTGATTACACCTTATAGTGAAGCGGTCTTTAGTAGAACGTGAAACCAGAGGCATGGGTTATATGTTTCTGGTGAAACGTAAACAAAGTTGCCGCAAATCGCTACGGAAAACGTTAAGTGTGTCATGGCCATATTAGGATTGGTTCCGCCTAACCGAATTACCAACGAGCTAGATGAACAGAGAAAAGGGGTAAAAAAGAAAAAAATATCGCACGAAATTTTCTGCACAAGGGCGAGCGACGCCAAGGGGTCCAAATTAGGTTTGCTGTTCCTCGCTTACTCTGGGTGGCTGGCAACAGTTTCCAATATTTTTCACTACTTCTACTTTGATGAAACAATACTACCACTGGCGTTCTTTTTCAGCTGATGCTACAAACACATTCCCAGTTTGAAATCATTTAACGCCACCACAGATTAATCGCCGATATAAACGAAAAATCAGCGACATAAATGAGCCTTACAAAAGAAATACGGTCTTAAACTCCGTTCGCAAAGGTAGGGAGTTCCCCCAACAACAACAAAATTGCTGATAACTGTACGCAGGCGTAATTTTCGTTCCTTCTTCCTCCCATGTCACTTGTCATTCAGCTTTATTCCAACAGCCTTGGATGCTTTTTCCTAATTTCCCATTAGCCCCACGTTAGTGCCCGCCCGATCTTTGTCTTTCCACAGAAAATTTTGAAAATAGCTTTTTAAAGTCTGTGGAACAAATTCCAGTGAGAGTTCTTCAATGGTTCTTACAGACTCAGTTCGCTTGTTTCGGTTCGACAAAATCAACCATCGTTTATGTCTTTATTGTACCATTGAACGATCATCGCCAGTAAATTGTACAGTATATCTTTTTTTAGACCTGGGATATTGCTGCAACAGTCGATAGCACTTCTGGAAGGCATTTCTGCGCACTTTTCGAATGTTTATTGCGCCATCCTGAAGGAAATGAGAGGACGTGAGATATTCAACCTTCCTGGGTAGACGTCACAACAGCCGCTGGACCCATTCTCCTCAAACTCGGTCGTGAAACAAAATGGTGGTGTTTTGGGGCTATTTTCGAGATTTCGTCGGGGCACAGAAAATCGAGGATTTAACCCAATCCAAAAATTTTTTCGCAGAAGTATTTCAAATAACATGTAGATTCGATTTAGCGAAAAAAACACAAATTGGGGGTTAGGTGCACTTTAAACTTCGACAAATTAAACACGGAGCGATCCTATACAAGGAAAGAAAAAACTTCCTTGGCTTCAATTATTGAATTGTTTAGAAGATTTTCCTTAGCTTAATTGATGCGTAAAAACAGTTTTGGCATAACAATTACAAAGTGAACTGAGCGAAGCTTTTTTCTTAAAATGATCAGTTCAAGAAGTAAGAGGTTAATAAACCTGAACAAGAGTTGACTAATAACCTCCTAGCGAATTCTAAAAAATATTTTGAAAAGGGCAAACGTAATCCGGAATAATGTGGTAGTAGTAGGACTTTATTGAAGTGTCAAGGTATTTAGCTTTTAATAAACTAATTGGGGACACTAATTTAGTCGTAACTAAATAAAGTTAAGAGTAAGTTATTTACATATGTGTAAAACGTAACTTAAATCGTTCGTAAAAACGTAATTTACACCTAATATAAAACTAAATATATTCCTAGCCCAATTGAACGGAATTGAACGGAACAACTGAGAAGCTAAGATTTCAGTCATGTCGCGAGCTAGCCGTGGCACGTTGTGTTTAAAGTGAAAGCCCTTCTAGATCTTCCCAAATTCAAGGCGATATACCATTGTTCCTTGTGTTCTTAGAGTGAAGTGGTCTTTTAAAGTAAGTCTTAAAGGGGGTGCAAACCGGCATTATTTTGAAGACAGTCGAAGACAAACTAACCGCTTTTGCGCTGAATTAAGTTCTCTGCTGATGGTAGTTTTAGATTGCTGTTACCAATCATTTTCAAACTTCGTTATTCAATATTGTTTATCAGACTTTTTTGGGTGTCTGACCAACCAAGACCAAGTGATCCGCCACACGTAAAAATAGGGAAGATCGTTGTTTCGTAGATTGTTTCAGCGCATTTTTGGTCGATCGACGAACGGATTGATCTTAATAGACAAGCTCTGCCAGCAGCTTTCTTGTAAGTTCTATCGAGTGTGTCGTAAGGTACTAGGTTACTTTCCCAGAGACGCGAACCAATGAGGTGTTCTATTGAGGGCAAGAAGGATGACGGGTAAGAAAGCCAATCCCCGATACAGGCTTTTTTCCAGGCACCAGTTCTTCTAGGGATATGATGTGTTTTTCTGCAAGGATGAACATGCATGTAAAGGCGCTAAGACTGTCCACGTGAGCAACATGGCGTCACAATAATGCTAATCGGGAGTGGTCTAAAAATAACCTCAAAGGGATAGACTTAGAAATGAGGCCTATATGGGGGATTTGGTCTTACTCTTCATCCTCTCCTGATTAAGGAATATGATTGACGGACTTAACCCATCAGGATCGCTCTATGTTTAAGACGGGTCTTCACATCGACTAAGTAATCGTAAAAGAAACATTAATTTTAACCATACAGGTACAGGACAACTCGATTGTCATCTCCTTGATTTATTTAATTCGCAAAGTATTGTTTGATTAATTTAAGGGGCTAGGTCTTCCAACTTTAGGCAATTTTGAATCTCACCAGCTGGTCATGGAAATAACTGAGATATCACAATAACCGGTTAAAACTGAAGAAGAACTCAAAAGAGACACAGGAAAGACAAAGGAGGGCGTGGATGGGAAAAATTGGAGAAAATTGAAACGGGTAAATTGGGAACTTAGCAGCCTGGCTCTCTCAAGTTTATGTCGATTTGTGTAATAGCCGTGTTTTATCATTGCTCTTTGAGTAAAAGACTGTCGGTCAGCCAATTTCAAGTTAGGGACTTACAGTTGACAAAGATGTATGGATTACCTAAATACTGTGACCACGCTCCTTTAACTAGGAGTTGTGCATCTCCTTTACGTAAATTATTGTTTAAAGCCCTTCCACTGCTAACATATTAAAAGTTGTGATTTTGCACCATTTTTTGAACAAAATATGTCATGACTAACTGTTAGAAATAGTTTTCTACGGTGTCCTTGAACAATTCTTGGGATCACTAAATACTTACGAAATGTTCCGATGATTTACACGAACTCCTACTCAACTTGCAATGGCTCGGCCTCCGGTCTCTTTCACAAGTACAGAAATTTTGTCAGTGTATGCATAGAAGCTGGGACTTGAATAACAGACTTCTTG